GGCTGGCAGGGAGAGCTTCAGGGAGACTGTGAGCAAGAGCAGGCCAGGCCGTGAGGAGCTTGCCCAGGGGATGGGGCAGAAGCCAGGAGAAAGCCAGTGAAGAAATGGCAAAAGAGACCCTAACTGGAGTGAGAAGAGAGGGGGGAGAGGAGGGAGAGGGAGAGGGAGAAGGAGAGAGAGAGAGGGACAGAGAGAGAGAGAGAGAGAGAGAGAGAGAGAGTCAAAGGGCACAAGAAGCTGGGTATGGTGGCACACACTTTTAATCCAAGCACTCTGGAGGCATGCACAGATAAATCTCCATGAGTTCAATGTCAACCTGGTCTGCACATCAAATTCCAGGTGAGCAAGGGCTGCACAGTAAGGCTCTTTCTAGGAAACAAACAGACAAACAGACTGTACCAGCATGTTAGAGGCGGAACCTCTTCTGGGGTGCCCACAGATGATAGCTTAGTAGGCTGTGAGCGATCAGTGAGTTTCCACAACAGCCAGCATCTGCATCTGCCTTTCAGGAACTCCATAAACAAGAAATCAGAACATAAGAGAAACACAGCATCAAAAAAAAAAAAATCTGAGAAAGACAAAGTTACAACACACAGCTGAAACCAGCATGAGGGAAAACCCAGAGAGCATGCAAATTGGATTCTGACCAAAAGTGGCAAAGCCAGGCTAGCACCTGGCAGTAATGCTTGTATTCAATTGGTCCACTGAATTAAAAAAGTAGTATTAAAAAGTCCATTTAAAAAAGAGTAGCCACATCAAAGACCAAAGGCTGTAAATAACCAAGAAGGAAAATGTATCGCAGTCAAACACCAATGGTGACAAGGAGCTAATGCTTTCCTCCATATGCTAAATGGGGGTCCCATGGCAAATTATCCCACGCGTGCCTGCCTCAGATGGTTGGATACTTGACAATTCGGTTGCCTTGCCCATGTGTAGTTATCGCCTGTCCCCATGCTTAGCCATAGTCAGATATCAATAACTTTCCCTGCAGAGAGAACTGGCTGGTAAGTAAAGACAAGGGAGCCAAATTAATCCTCAGTATGCACCCACCTGTAAGGGATCAGGATCAGTAGTTCTCAACACTGTCCCATCACCAGTCACCTAGAACTTCTAGAAAATCTGATCGCAAATAGCACCAGGACCAATCACATAAGAAACCCTTGTGAGAAATGCTGGGTTTGGTCAGACAGTGCAGATGCCCTGGAGAAAGGTGATGTTCAGTGGGTGGGGCCCCTGCTCCTCATGGTTATGGGCAGGAGTATGTTTAGGACTAGAGTTAGGATTCAGGTCAGGACTCTAGTGAGTGCTAGGGCTAGAGCCAGGGTTAAGGTCAGTTTAGGGCTAGGATTAGGATTAATGCCTTGGTTATGCAGGGCTATTGTTAGGGCTGTGGTAAGACTAAGGGCTGGGATCATGTTTGTGGCTAGGGTTATGGAGAGTTTTTATTGCCTCCCTTTCTCTGAGTGCCCCCTTCTGGGGTCTTGCAGGAAGAAGTGGAATCCGGTCTCTGTGTTTACCCTTCTCTCTTACAGGCAAGCACCTTGGAGATGGGGAATTCTTTTACTTACGATAAGTGTTTCGATTCTCTCCTTTTCACTTTTAATTTATACCATCTCATCACTTATTATCTGACTTCATCTTCAGATATTACTTAATGTCTCTCATCTTCATGGGAAATCTGGAGTTTAGAGAGAATCCTGTCTTCTGTGTCCCTAGAGGTTGAATTTAGCCGAAGTGTATTGAGCTGGTCAGAGACAAGATCCAAGGTCTGCTCAAAATAGAACACAGCTCATCTGTGTCAATTATAACACAGCTCACCTATGTCAATTATAACACAGCTCACCTATGTCAATTATAACATGGCTCATCTTTGTCAATTTTAACACAGTTCATCTACATCAATTATAAGAGCCTTCAGACCTTCTAAGTATTTTAAATAAGTTCACTTATGAGTCTTATTTAAAAACAAACAAATTGTATTGTTTTCACTAGGGAAAGGAGATTTCTATCTTGTGGATGTTATTGAAGGGGGTGAAAAGGAGCCATCTGCAGGAAAGGACCCCCCACCCCCACCCCCAGGACATGCTGCCTGCAGATGTGCTGGGCAAGTTACCTTCTCTTACTGCCCTTAGTATTTTAAGTGCCCACAAATTACCCATGAAAAGGCCAGAAACTTCCTTGCAAAATGGAAAAAATTTAATTATGGTATTTGAAAAAAATCATTTAAAAGGTAACATTATCCTAAATAAGTTTTTTCCCTTTTTCACATACTTTATTTAAAAATTAACTTTTTTTCAATTAGGCAACACTTTATTTTTATTTTATTTTTATAATTGTAATTAGACCAATTTTAAATTAGAAACAAGCTTCTTTTACATGTTAATCCCAGTTCTCTTTCCCTCCTCTCATCCCTTGCCCCCAACCCATCCCTTATCCCAACCCCTTTCTGCTCCCCAGGAAGGGTGAGGCCTTCCATTTGGGATCTTCAAAGTCTGTCATATCATTTGGAGCAGGGCTAGACCCTCCCCATGTATCTAGGCTGAGAAAGTATCCCTCTATGTAGCATGGGCTCCCAAAGTCCATACCTATTCTAGGGATAAGTACTGAACTACTACAGGAGGTCCAGTAGCTTTCTGCTGAACCAGACCTCCAAACTGACATCCTTGTTCAGGGGGTCTGGAACAGTCTTATGATGGTTTCCCACTATCAGTCTTGGATCCATGAGCAACCCCTTGTTCAGCTCAGCTGTTTCTGTGGGTCTCTCCAGCCTCGTCTTGGCCCCTTTGCTCATCACTCCTCCCTCTGTGAGACTGGATTCCAGGAGTTCAGTTCAGTGTTTAGCTGTGGGTGTCTGCTTCTGCTTCCATCCATACTGGATAAAGGCTCTAGGGTGGCATATAAGGTAGTCATCAATCTCATTATCAGAGAAGGGCATTTAAGGTAGCCTCTCCACTATTGCTTAGATTGTTATTGGTGTTAAACTTATACATCTCTGGACATTTCCCTAGTACCAGAGTTCTCTTTAAACCTATAATGGCTCCCTCTATTATGGTATCTGTTTTCTTGCTCTTCTCTATTCTTCCCCTGACTTGATCTTCCTGCTCTCTCATATCCTCCTCTCCCCTCCTCTTCTCCCCTTCTCTTTCTTCTAACTCCTTCTCCCCTCCCCCATGCTCCCAATTAGTTCAGGAGATCTTGTTCCTCTCACTTTCTCTTAGGGTCTCCCTTGTTTCCTAGCTCTCTGGCAGTGTGGATTGTAGGCTGGCACACCAAAAAGGCATCCACAGTTAACTTTTCTCTATTCTTGATAATTTCATATATCTATAGAATAAAACCGTGGTGATATCTTGCTTGTACAAATAAAGTCTGTCTGAAGATCAGAGAGAAGGAGCAAACCACAGCCACACCTTACTTCTGTTTATTTGTACAAGCAAGATATCACCACATAAAACCACATCCTGGATTTGTTCGCCCAGCTCTTCCATCAGTGTGTCAACCCTCCAAACTTCATGACTTCTTTTTTAATAACACACTAAGTCTAATTACTGCTATGTATGCCCTCCTGTATGTGAAGACCCTATTGCTGATGACATTACACACATAGAGAATCAGTCTCAAACTCACAAGGAAACTTCATAATGTCTAGAGGTGCTATGCAGGCTGTTGGGGTAGAAAAGTCTTCAGTGGTCTTATTCAGGGCTAGACCTCACATGATGCAGTGACACCCTGATAGACAAGATGTGCCCATGGGTGCAATACTAGCATGACAGTTTTGGCTAACTAACCACTTTCTGAATGGACTTGAGGCCTGTTCCTCAGGAAGGAAATTGATACTTGGTACTGTATTCGTGGGAAGGTCATGGTCTTGAGCATGGAACTTGCTATTGGTAATTTGCTAAATGGTCAAACACTGTGAAATTTCCCTTTGAACATTGGTGTTGATGCCCGTAGACCTGGGCATTCTCTCAGCATTGGTCAGAGAAGCTCCTTTTGCAGTGGGTAGCAGGCAATGCATAGATGTATAACTAGTCAAAGTGCCAGGAACAAAACAATGTGTGCTCAGCCCTAGGCAGGGCATGTTTATAGTCCTGCCCGCATGAGTAAAGTTTTACAGTGAGGAAATGCATGCTCATTTGCTTTTCCTTCAAGATGTCCCAGATAGCTCCTGCCTTTCCTCAGCACCAGGCATTATAAAGTTTGGAGCAAGTGACACACCCAGGGATGGCCTTTGGCAACACCTGTGAATGGTGCACACCCTTGGCAGCGAGATCTCTCTGACCACTCTGAGAATCCAGTCTGCAGGTCTTGGAGCAGAGTTGGAACTTTCCCAAACCTTGTTTGCTTCAGGAAGCCTGGGAAAGGCCAGAAGGGAATGTTTACTGTCATCTCTGCAAGCAGGGTTGGGAGGGAACAGGCTGTCTCTGGGACACCCCAAGGTAGCTAAAGTAGAAGATATCCCAGAAGGAAAGGGAAAGGGACATAAAAATGGATTTGATAGACAAGCTAATCTTTATCATTAACCTCTTGACAATGCTTTTCATGCCTTGATGAGAAAATCCAAGAGAATCCCTCCAAGAGGGGTGCTGGCTGCCCTGGCTTTAATCCTCTGTAAGCTAAGTGTGCTTTAGGATGCTATGTCATTGGGCATGATAAGACTGAATGCAAAGATCAATGTGTTGCCCATGTAAGAAACTGGACTATGACCCTCCCCCAAAAAGTGTCGCTTCCTTCCGTGATGCAGAGGTAGAAAGTTAATGGCTTGCTGTTTGATCTAACGATCTGGGGATTGCAAAGACAGGCAGCTCTCAGGTGGGTGTTTGATATATTTTTTCCCAGCTGCAGGGCTGTTTGAAAGCAACTTTCAGGGGTCAGTGTTGAGTATTAATTCTGTGGTATCTGGTGTCTCCTGTGTGTTCCTACTAGATGGTTTTGAAACATGTGATGACTGCGACATTCCCAGTTCTCTGCAGCACCTGTTCTCTCGCTTCCTTTTCCACCAGGAAAGTGACAATTTTGGAGGACCCTGACCAGAACATTCACCTGAAAAATCTGTCTCTTCATCAGGCAACAACTGAGGAGGAAGCTTTGAACTTGCTCTTCTTGGGGGATACCAACAGGATGATTGCAGAGGTAACAGGCATCTCTCTTCAAGTGACTTTTCCAAGGTTCTGAGGCACAATAGGATCTGGAGGCTGCAAAGTCCTCCAAAAGGACCTCATCCACATCTGATGCTGCAAACTAGGAAACCTGGATCCGTAGAAATGAGGTCTGCCCTGGGTCACCTAGTGTGCCGGTTAGCCTTAATTATTAATTAGACACAACCTAGAGTTACTTGAGAAGAGAGTCCCAGTGAGGGGTTATCTGCATTGGGTTTACCAATGGCTCCAGTAGGAGAAGACCCAGCCCACTATGGGTGGTGCCATTCCCTAGGCTGAGCACAAGCAAGCAGGGATATATGTGCAGTTGTTTCTCCTTGCTCCTGACTATGAGTGTGATGTGACTAGTCCTGCTACCGTGACTTTGCCACAGTGATAGATGTGACCAGTGATGTGAGCTAAAACAACTCCTTCCTGCCTAGTTGATTTTTTGTCAGGATCCCACCCCCACTCCACCCCCCTCTTGACATGTCAGTTCTTTATTTTGCTGTACAGATAGGAAGCTGGAAATTACACTTCATTTAAATAATTCTTATTTCCCCTTCACACTGCGGAAGTTCCCTCCTCCGCACAAGAACAGCAATCTGTTCAAGGTCAAGTTCAGTGAGCAAGGACAGACACCCAGACCTCCCTATCCCCACTGCTTTTGACTTCACCACATCGTCTGTCTTCTTTCTTTTCTGCTTTTCAATTTGATAGAGATTGTTTTTGCATCAAATCAGTGACAACCCATAAAACATCTTAATTATAAACTGCATAATTTTTGAAATTGAAAACCATAAGGCACAGTTCATTGTTTCTGATCTCAGATTGCCGGTCTAGTGGCATGTGTTCATGTCCCTGTGTACTTTCATTTAGTTGGTGAGTTAATATTTGTGAAACATTCAGAAAATCCCATGGAATACAGGAAGTTGTGTGTCCTATGTCCCAGGGCCATATTTGGCTACACATATACTAAAAAGCATCCTTTGCTTATCCAATGTTCAGATTCAACTGGGTTTCTTTGCTTTGTCTGAGACCCCGAGGCAGCAGCCAAGATGGATCCAAGCCTTAACCAGTTACTGACCAGGGTGGAGGGTCCTGAGGCTCCATGTGGTCACACGTAACCAAAAGGAGTGAATGAATGTATTGTGACTGGTAATGGTAGCAATGGGGGTGCTGCTGCGGCTGGTGAGTGGGGGATTGGTAGCGTGAGAACAAGTCTCTTACGGATGCTTACAGCTATCATAGTGACTTTCTTTTTCACTTTTATAAAAACTATTTGATGTGTATGCTCTTCTTCCTGTTTGTAAGTCTGCGCACCTTGTGCATGCCTGGTGCCTGGGGAGCCAAATCCCCTGGAACTGGAGTTGCAGACGGCTGTGACCTGCTCTGTGGGCACCAGAAATCAAATCCTCTGGATGAGCAGCCAGTGCTCTTAATCAATGAGCCATCTCTCCAGCCCTAGGACTTTCTTTTAAATCATTCTTTCAGACTTCCATATTGGATATCGTTGCTGATGACACGTGGGAGGTGGGAATCTGAGGAGTCAGAGAAAGTCTCCATTGAATATGTGCTTCCTGCCGGGTTTCCACCCTGAACACGCTCTTCTTAGACATGAAAGTGACAGACCGAGGTCAGCCCCTGAAACATGCTTTTGACATCTTATTACCCTTAGCAATGGGGTCCTCCGTTCTATTGACATTTTTCTACTAATTTTGTGTGGGGGGGGTGTGCATGCTTATGTGTTCACATGTGTGTCTACACATGCAAGTGGGGTCCACAGGCTGATATTAGGTCTCTTCCTCAGTCACTCTCTAACTTATGTATTGAGGCAGGAGCTCTCACTGAAGCCAGAGCTCACTGATTTAGCCAGTTTGAATAACTAGCTTGATTCAGTAGTCCCTAGTTCTACCTTCTGAGTGCTTGAAGTATAGACAGGCTGTCCATACCTGCCCAACATTTTTGTGGTGGTTGAGCATACTGCCCTTCACACTTATAAGACAAGCAATTTACCCATTATCTTAGTTATTCTTCTACTTCGATGGCAAAGCATCAAGACAACTTATAAAAGAAAGCATTTCATTTGGGGCTCATGGTTTCCGAGGGCTGGTGTTTCTGACCGTCATGGTGGGGAACATGGTAGAAGACGATTAGGCATGGCGCTGGAGCCATTAGCTGAGAGCGCACATCTTGAGAGTGGGGGGGGGAGGGAGTTAACTGAGAATGACATGGGATTTTAAACCTCAGAGCCCAACACCAGGGACAAATCTCCTCCAATAAGTCCACACCTCTAAATCCTTCACAAACAGTTCTACCCACTGGTGACTAAGCATTCAAATATATGAGCCATTTCCATTCAAACAACCACACACTCTGAGCCACACACGCCCCCCCCCCCCCCCCCACTCCCCCACCAAGGGGGGTTGCCAGTTACTCACTAAGTGGATTGTTTAAATACAGTGAGCATCTTATGTAGGCCACATTTTTGTGACATACGTCACATGCATTTGAGGACATTTGAATTGATTATTCTACTGGAAGAAAGTTCACATAGGTTTTCATCTCAGAGTGTCTTCTTCTGTTTTCTGTTTCGTGTTTGTGTTCAGTGCTTCAATGTTTTCCCTATGAGATCATCTGGGTCACTCTTACTGTTTCCAATAATTGAAGATTATGGACTGAAGGAAGAGTAAAAATGAGTGCATGTGAATGAGGAAATAGGAGGAATCTGGCTGTCTCTCTGCACAGGGTTCATAACAGCAAGCCAGGAAATGCAGAATGCACAAAGGCTCATGGGAAGGAGGAGCAGTTGTGAATGGTGTGGCGAGACAAGCAGACACGCTGGCCCAGCCTCAGTGCTCGCCTTCCTCAGGGGAGACTCTTTGCTTGTGGCATTACCCTGTGAGTTTTGGAAAAGCTCTGATCGTCTTTTACACAGCTTCAGGGAGTTTGAAATCTTAGCCCATTTGTTACTTCTGAGTTATACATTACATTTATCTTCCCTACGGGTCTAGGGGGTTGCTCATAAATAAAGGACATGCCATGCAAGTGTGAGGACAAGAATTCAGATCCCAAGAACCTAGAAAAAACTGGACAGGTATGAAGGCTGCCTGTGACCCCACACTCAGAAGGGGGAGGCAGGATCCTCAGAGAAAGCTGAGTAGCTTCAGTAGCTGGCATGGGGGAACCGATGAGCAGGGGTTTAGTAAGGAAAACTGCCATAGTGCATAAAGTGGAGGGTGACTGAAGGATGCACTTGGCATCAGCTTTGGGCCACACACACACACACACACACACACACACACACCACATACACCATACTGACATACCACACACACACACACACACACACACACACACACACACACACACACACCCAGGACAGAAAACACATCCCAAAGATCACATACACCATACTGACATACCACACACATACACACACACTACACACTTACCACACACACACCCCACACCATACACACACCACACACATACACACACATGCAACACACATACCACACATCATACACACAATACATACACACACAATACATACTCACACACATACACACACAATACATACACACATACTACACACACACACCACACACATACTATACACACACATACATATACACACACCACACACACTCAATACAAACATACACACACACACCACACATACCACACACCATACACACATACTATACACAAATATACATACACACATACACACACATCACACACAGCTATACACCATACACATATATACACACATACACACACCATACATGCACACATACAATACATATAAGCACACATACACACACACACCATACACACATACTATACACACATATACACATACATCTTTTTTAGTAAACTCTTTATAGAAGTTTTGACCATTTTGAAAAGTTTTAAGAAATGCCCTTTGTGAAATGTACCTGCCAGGTTTTCCACCTCACAGAGTCATGAGTCTTTCCTATAACCTCCCGGGAAATTTATCTACTAATAACCTCATACAGGCTGGAAACCCAAAGTGGTCCAGTTCTAGTGTCCATACTTTAATATTTGTTTAATGTGCTAATCTTTTTCTGTGTTTGCCTTTATTGTTTTCATCTGATAAATCAGTGGTCATAGCCATGTCATTCAGTAGACTTTTCATGTAAAATACTTTACACACATTTAAAAAATTACATTACTTATTCATTTCTGTGTGTCTTCGGTGTTGGCAGCAACCTTCTTTACCCACTTAGCCATCTGCCTTGTCCTGTATACATTCTTCCTCATTCTTAATTTAATGGGGAAACTGAGGCTGAAGGAGTTTTGTGTTTTGTGAGACTCTGTCCCCATCCCTTTGATTCAGAAGCTTATGTCCCTTCATGTCACAATCATGACATCAACATCTGTCAGCTATTGCAAGTATGGATGTACTTATGAGTTACTAGAAAAGTATTCCAAGAATTTAGCACTTCCATTTATCTCTCGAATTCAATGAAAATGACCACATACACATAAACTATAAATGAAGACTGTTGGCTCCTGAAAATTCCTTGTTATTCAGTCCCTGGCAAGTCTGTGTTGGATCTCAGACTAGCTGTCAGAATGTAATTTGTCAGCACACAACGGGCTTCCCATGATAAAAAAAGAACACAGTAATCATTTCTTTAAAAAATAAAAAAAGTTCCCAGTTTCCTTTTACACAGACATCTCTAGGGGTTGCCATGGAAACCAGAAAACATTTGCAAAACAAAGTCCCAATATGTAGGACACAAGGTGGAGTGTGCTTTCCTTTCATAGTCAGCCTCTTACAGAAAAGTTATTAAAACTACTTAGTGTTTATCCAGAAGTCTTAACTCCTGCAATCCTACCACTGTTTTGGAATAATACTTGATTGTGTCCTGAGGGTTTTCCAGTTGAATGGCTGGGCCAAAGAGTGTGAATATTGTAAAACCTGAACTGTGAGTGACCCCACCCCCAGGCCCACCCATAGCT